CCCCCCCCCAACTTCACTTCTTCGGTCCAGAGTAATGGATGGGAGGCCATCTAGAAAGTCTGCTGTGCAGAGACCATCTAAGGAGGCTGCCGGGCAGGGGCAGGCCCTGGCCGACCACCTCTGAACGCCTCTTGCCTCGAAAGCCCTCCTGAGTCGCCGTAAATTGAGTGTGATGTGATGGTGCTCTCCACCACCTGCCCTGACCCGGAGAATCCAGGCCAGCCCGGGCAGAGACCATCTAGGAAGGCTGCTGGGCAGGGGCAGGCCCTGGCCGACCACCTCTGAACGCCTCTTGCCTTGAAAGCCCTCCTGAGTCGCCGTAAATTGGGTGTGATGTGATGGCGCTCTCCACCACCTGCCCTGACCAGGAGAATCCAGGCCAGCCCGATCTCGTCAGACCTCAAAAGCTAAGCGGGGTCGGCCCTCGTTCGCATTTCGATGGGAGACCCAACGAGGAAGTCCAGGGTTGCCATGCAGAGGCAGGCAATGGCAAACCATCTCTGGACATCTGTTTCATTGAAGGAGGAGGAGGGAAGAGATTGGATTTATACCCTGCCCTTCACTTGGAGTCTCAGAGCGGCTTACATTCCCTTCCCCTCCCCACAACAGACACCCTGTGAGGTGGGGCTGAGAGAGATCTTTCGGGAACTGCCCTTGAGAGAACAGCTCCGACAGAACTAGGGCTTGCCCAAGGTCATCCGGCAGCAGCAAGTGGAGGAGTGGGGAATCAAACCCAGTTCTCCCAGATTAGAGTCCGCGCAACTTAACCACGACACCAAACTGGCTCTCGAAAAGCCCAGAGGGTCAGCCAGACACCAGCTGTGACGACAGAACTTTCCTCCACCAGTTTTCTCCCATACGGCCACTGGGTGGCTCCACCAGCCCTCATCAGAACCAACAGGAGGAGGGGTTTTCGACACAGTCGGGAATTTTCAGCTTCCTGAAACGCCCCCGGCCACCTACTCACCTGACCCCGTTCTCCCTACGATGCCAATCTTCTCCTTGGGTTTGATGGTGAAGGACACTTTCTTGAGGACGAGCGGGAGGTTCTCCCGGTACCGCATTTCTGCATTTTCGAAGATGACTTCTCCTTCCTGAGGCCAGTCGGGAGGGGGCGCTTTGTTCTTAATCCGAGCTGGAGCCTCCAGGGAAAGTGTCTTGGAAAGGGGGTTGGGAGACGGAAAAGGGTCAGGGTCTCAGCTGTTCAAGAGCCATTTCCCTTCGGAATACTGGCTGAACGCAGAGAAGTGCAAACCGGAAAGCAAAAACTACAACCAGAATCTTCTCCCGGGGAAGCTGACAGTGTCAATCCAGCTAAAGAACAGATGAAATTATTTGTTTACTTCATTTATACTCTGCCTAAAATGTTGAGACAGTGTGCGACTGCAATAAAAAAAGGCCAACGTTATGCTGGGGATTATTAGGAAGGGAACCGAAACCAGATCAGCCAGTATCATCATGCCCCTGTATATATTGATGGTGTGACCTCATTTGGAGTACTGTGTACAGTTCTGGTCACCACACCTCAAAAAGGATATTCTAGCATTGGGAAAAAGGCAGGAAAGGGCAACTAGAATGATAAAAGGGTTGG